AAAAAAAAAAAAAAATTCTACTTTAGCTGCTGTTACTATTTGTTAAGCAGTTTTTTGTTTGTTATCCAGGCTGGAATGCAGTGGCCTGATCATGCCACACTTAAGCCTGGACCTCAAGCGATTCTCTCACCTCATCCTCTTGCATAGCTGGGACTACAGGTACATCACTTTGCCCGACTTGTCAAGCAGTTTTTGGTCAAAGTTATAGGAAAGGTCGGAAAATAACCTCCAATATTTTCTCCAAGCAGTAGACCTTAAACCTCGGCAGGTGGGAAAGCACAAACTTGCATCTTTAAAAAAAGCACAAAACTCATTTCATTATTACACATTAGGCTTTTTGAAACTGAATAGATACGCCACTTACAGAGTCATGGGTGAGGTATGTATCGCAGTAGTCACAATAAAACCTGAAAAGAGGTGGAAGGAAGAGAAAAAGAGATAACCAGTTAGATACCCATCCACGGAAACGCTGTTCATGGAAGATAAAAACAAAGAAACAAACAAAAAGCCCGACCTCGTCACGACTCAAAGGTGTCAAACAAAGCGTCGACACATAACCCAGGCTTTTTTTGTTGCCTTAAGCGGGATCCATCTCAATTCTAAAAAAGGGTGTCTAGCGCTCTCCATCTCCCTACCTCGTCCACCCGCCCCAGATCCTCTCCTATCCCTCGAGGTTGCAGAAACCAGACGCCGCTCTCCGAGCCTGCATGAGGGCCACAAGTAGTCACTACCATCACCCTCAAATTTCAGGGCCCCACTCACTTGGGCATGTTGCTCCGCAAGCCGTTGGCCACTCCGTTCCGTGACGCCCGGAAATGACGCACACAGCCAGCGCCGACACCGCGGAACCCCAAGAGACTAGCGCGAAGACTTCGAAACCCTAACCTCCTACAGCCGAGCAAGGGGCGGGGCTTTTCCTTTTCTTCCTTTCGCCTATAGGAGGGAGGGAAGGAGGAGTACTACGTACGGGTCGCTACGAGGTTCAGTCCAAGCCCATTTAATCTTGTTTCTCGATGTTTCCGGAAGAGCTTATTTATTCTTTCTATAAATATCTAATGAGTCTTTGCTGCGCGCCTGGCGCTGCTATAAATGCTGAATAAACAAAAGTGAACAAAACAGACAAAAATTATTGTCCTCGTGGAGTTGACATTCTAGTGGAACAAGACAGTTGTTAAAACCAATAGCCGGTGCCGTGGCTCGCTCTTGGAATCTCAGGTACTGGGGAGGCTTAGGCGGAAGGATCCCTTGAGCTCAGCAGTTGGAGACCAGCCCTGGACAACATAGCGAAACCCTTGTCTCTACAAATAATTTATAAATTATCCGGACGCCTGTGGTCCCAGCTACTCGGAGACTGAGATGGGAGGATCGCTTGAACCCAGGAGGTCGTGGCTGTAGTGAGCCGTGATCTCGCCACTGCACTCCAGGATGGGTGACAGAGTGGTACCCTATCTCAAAAAAATAATAAATATTTATAGTAGTAGGTTAGGTGGAGCAAAGTGAAGAGAGAATAGGAGAGTCCAACTTTATAGAGGATAGAGAAAGGTTATCGCTTGTCTTTTTAAAATTTATTTTTCATTTTTGTTTTTGGGAAATGTTATCTACACAGCTAACTACAATCACCATGTCAAGTAAAAAAAATAATAATAAGAGAAATGTTGTCTTTACAAAATGACAACTGAGAAATTACCTTTCTTTTTAGCGCAATAAAACCAAAACCAAGTGCAAGTGGCTCTATGTATCATGTATATTTTTTTCTTTTTTTGAGGCGGAGTCTCGCTTTGTTGCCCAGGCTGGAATGAAGTGGCACAATCTCGGTTGACTGCCACAATCTCAGTTCACTGCAACCTCCACCTCTCGGATTCAAGCAGTTCTCTGCCTCAGCCTCCCCAGTAGCTGGGATTGCAGGCGCCTGCCACCACACCTGGCTAAT